GTGAGTATTAAGTGATGGAGCGGGACATATATGCGGGATAATAATGGCCAAAGCACAGAGTAGGAGTGTAGGACGCCAGTCGAGGTAATTAATCTGAGTCGTGACATGAGTCAAGGAATTGCAGATGTGGCCTCAAAGATGATACTGGTCCAGCCGTACCTTTTGCTTTCTTTTTTTATCTCATGTCCCTCAAACACATTCTCCCCTAATTCTATCCATTGACAATAAAAATATTTATTTTAATTTTATTTATAAAATACTTCAATAATTATTTCATTTATTGATATCTTTTTTACCCTTATTGAATATGAAAAATGTTATTGAATAGTATAAATATCTAATAAAAATAAAGTTTAAAAGTTATTAAATTTTAAGACGGAGTGAATAAAATTTAAAATTTTATAATTTTTGGTGAGTGTTTTTAATAAATAAATTCTTATATTCATTTCACCTAGAGGTATGATTAAAAATGGATGGCTTTTAGAAAATCAGTTGAAATTTTCATTATTTTTAAAACTCATGAAACGGTTACAATAATATTTATTGTGATTTATAAATTATATTAAAAAATTAACAAGTGAGGTAAAAAAAATTACTAGATAATGATTTTATATTTTGAATAAAATTAACAAGTAAAAAGTATTTTAATGTTTTCACAGTTAAAATTATTTTTACTTTAATCTTCTCAAACTAAAATGAAATTTTAGATATTTTATTAGATGCACTAATAATTAGGTCATATCCTTAATCCCTAGTTAAAATTTTTCCGGAAAGCATTTATGATGTTTACAAGATGTTGGTCTGACGGGAAGGTTTAATATATGGAGAATATCAATGAAAATCCTCTAAAATAATTTAATTTTAACTAATAATTAATAACAAATAAACATTAGCAATGAATAAGTGAAAGTTGAAATTATAACAAGTATCCAATCCATTTAAATACTTAACTAATATTAAATTATCTTAACTGTCATTCATGGATATTCTCCTTTTGATTATAATTACAGAGGAGATGAACTGATGAAGTTGGGCCACAGAGCTAGAAAGACAAAGGTAAAAACTTAAAGAGAGGTACTAGCAGTTAATTATTATATATATATATATATATATTTATTATTATAGAGAGATGAGAAAAAGGAAGAGTGAGGGTCACATCGTCATGGGACAAGTGCGGGTGGCCGGCACGTTACATTCCCCCACGCGTCGCCTCTTCAATTAATTCCATAACTTCGTTTCATGTTATCTGTTGTTGCCTCTTTCTCTTTGCTTTCTCTCCCGTCTCAAATACTCCACCCGATCCCGCGCCGCCTCTACACTCGTACCGAAATTGTAGCCACTCCTTCCCCTTTTAACTTCCAAGACAATTTAAATCAATCAACTGTAAACATGGCTGCCCGAATTAATATTTAAATTTTTATCAAAATAAATACCCGCATAATTGAGTGCCCTATTGTATTTTAAATAAATTATTTTTAATATAAGAATGCGTATAAATAATAAAAAATAAATCGAATATAAAATTATGGATATTAATAAAATTTAATAATAACACTTTATAATTTTATTTTTTAAAATAAAAATATTATCTCCTTATATTCAAAATATAAACATTTTTTAACTAATATTAATTTAAAATATAAGTAACCTGTGTAAATTAATATTGGAATTGGTATTAAAAAATTTACACTTGACAATTATGTAAATATATTCTAAATTATTGTGTAAATTCATCTCTCACCCATAATAAAGTGCATTGATAATTGAAATTAAAAATAAAAAAAATTAGTACATAATATTTTTATGAGAATGAGAACATTATTGATATGAAATTTTTTTCCTAAAAATGCTTATATTTTGAAACGTAATGAGTAATTCTTAAAAATATTATTCATTAAATATAACCTTAAATTCACACACACTTAATCATTACATTGGAATTAGTTTAATTCTCTCTTTCTCTCCCTCTCCCCATTTGGATAGTAATATTTAAAAATTATTAATAAAATCTTATTTTTGACAAAATTTCTTATACCTTGGAATGGCAAAATACCTTTAAAATTATCTTATAATTTAAAATGAGTATAGTACTTGTTTAACCGATCAAGATAGTAATTTAAGGGTTAGCAATTAAAATTATATAATTAAATTATGATCATATCGATCATGAATAAAGCATTTTATTAAACTAATTAAGATTTTGGTTTAATAATAATTTACTTGCTTAACTTGTCAAATTGATCCAAATTTTCATACTATACTGCACCCACTTTTTTCTGTTGTATTTGTAAATTATTGGGAAAAATTCATTAAAGTCCTTGAGATGTGACATAATTTCAATCAACTCTCAAAAATATTTGAAACTTCATTGCAAGATTGAAGTGCTAAAATGAAATAAATTCTTACTCGAATGATTAAAATGACCATTGATTATAGTTAGCATTACCAATATAACAAGTCAAGTTATAGATTTTACAAGTAATATTAACAAAATAACAACTCAAGTTATTAGTAACGTAACTTATTTTTATTCTTGCAATATTATTTGTAAAAATTGTAACTTGACTTATTATTGTTAGCAATGTTACTTATAAAAACTGTAACATATCTTATTATTTTACTAATATTGTAAAAATCATAATTTAACTTGTTATTTCAGTTATATTACTTACCAAAATCATAACTTAGCTTGTTATTATAATAATATTACCTGTAAAGACTGTAATCTAACCTGTTGTTCTCGTAATATTATTTTTAAAAATCATAATTTGACCTATTATTTTAATAATGTTAATTATAATTAAAGGGAATTTTGATCATTCAAGCAAGATAATTTATTTTATTTCAGTGCTTCGAGCCTATAGTGAAATTTCAAAATTTTTTAGGATCTAATTGAAATTACGTCTAATTGAAAGAACTTTAATGAAATTCTTTCAGCATTATCTTCAACATGTTTGATTAAAACAAAGAAATTTTAAAATTTATCAATTATATTAATAATTTAATAAACTTTTAACTTTCTCTATGTTCATGAAGAAATAGGCGAGAAGTCAAAGAAAATTTTCACTAATACACACCCACATTTAATGGAGGAAAAAAAAAAAAACTTTTGACATGTCTCCTAATTATTACCAAAAAAATTCCACCTCATTCTATCCTATAAACGAGAGTTAAATAAAGTATTCTTTTACTTTAAATTATAAAACACTTTTAAATAAAATTATATACATTAATAAAATTTATTAAATATATTTTGTAACTTTATTTTTTAAAATAAAAATATAAATTTTTAAAGAACATTCTTAATTTAATATTTTATTTTATGAAATAATATTAAAGAGAGAGAATATATAAAAAAGATAATGTTAAAAAAATATCATTAACAAAATCTTATTTCTATCAAAATATTTTATATTTGGCAGGGAGGTAGTATATTATAAATGCCACTTCGAACCTATTTTTAATGGAGGATAGGTACTTGGTAACCTATTTTTTTTAATTAACTCTACTATAAACTATTCCAGAAGTGATAAGTTTTCTGAGTTATCAGGGGCATTCTCAGAAAAATAACATTAATTACTCACAACAATTTGCAAAATGACATGTAAAATGAAAAATACCAAAATCTTGTAAAACATGCCATACAAAAGTTAAAGAAGGAAGTAGTGTTGATCCATAAAGGAATTAGTAATAAAAATTGCCGATTTACTAACTCTTAAAATAACGACTCAATTAATACGTACCTCAACTTCTAAAATTTGAAGGGACAGTATATCATCACGGCTTAATAAATGTGTGACTCTAATTGCTGCTTTAATAACGCTGCATATATAAGAGTGTACTTTACACTGCAATTCCACAGAAACCACTTCATTTAAACATGATGATTTTATGCCCTAATGCATACGGCCAGCAGACGCAAAATCAATTAACCTGCTTGCAGGTACGAAGTCCCGCGACATTTTGCTTTTAGGGCAATAAACCCTTTAATTAATTTGTATGATCACCTTAATTTGATTCGCTTCATGAACCATATATCCAACCATTTAATTTTCAAGCGAGGCACATGACAACCTCATAAACAAACCAGAAGCAATTATCTAGGAAAGGATTAGGGTCTCGAAATGAAAGTCAATTTATGACAAGCAAAGATGCGAGATGACTAAACTCGAGGGTCCCCAAGTAAAGAGGTCAATGAAGCTAAAGAGGTGGATTTGCATCACATGATATATTATAATTAGAAGCAAACTGATAAACGCTCTAATGCATAATGTTTGCTTCTTCTAGATTATAGAATCATAGTTTGTAGAAGAGGCACTGGGCGGAGAGTGAGGAAGGTAAATCTCTTCTATAGTCACTATAGAAATGAAGTGGGTTGATTACATAAACATATTCTCAAGCCCAAACAAAACATGCACCATTCGGCCGTCGCCTACCTGACCCCGGAGAATAAAAAATGCGAGGGCCTTTTTTTTTTTTTTTTTACCTTTAGTTTTTCTCATAAGGGTATCGTTACTTGAATCTTACCATGTCCCCCCCGCCCCCCCCCCCCCCAAAAAAAAAAAAACAACCCTTAGTGTTTGGGGGTTTAAGGTTTTAATTTTCGTGGTAATTTAAACCAACATCACTTTTCGTTTTAAGTTCAAATCATAGCAGAGTTGATTCCACACAGAGTTGATCCCGACATCAACATTTCAAAAAGCAAGATAACTAAAGCTCAGCTGTTACATGCATCGGTCGTGATCAACGAGATTAAAATCAGTACCACCAACATCACTTTTTATGCCACTATTATTTTGGTCACATTCATTTTAGATGTAACCACTCACCCAAGATCACGATTCCCATCATCATTAACCTACTTTTTTTTTGGGCCAAACCATCATCATTAACCTACTTGTCATCTCTGGCGTGCGAATATCAAGTTTCTTTTATTATTCTGCAATTTATTGTATATCTAAGTTTCGAACTTCATATCATAAAAGCAGACACTCCAAAGATTTTGCTGTGAAAGCATCCTTTTAATGATTCCTATTCAATTGTTTTCTGCTGTAGCCTCCAAAATAACATCCATCTAAAAAAAAACTCCAAAAAAGGGGGGAAAAATAAATAGATACTAGCCCCTACTACAACTATACTAGACTAATTATGGATGACAATCCTAGCAGCAATGTGGGTATTACCGTAACGATGGACAGAGATCTAACGCACGGCCTATATTGCACTACAGGGCTCAGACAAGAACTCCAAAATGCTGTAAAGAAGTTACATTGCTAGGCAGAAGACAAGCAAGCGGCTATGAGGAATGCACAGTAAGTTAGAAACTCTCCTCTAGCCTCTTCGGCGCTTCTTTCCAATCTTGGCCTCGCTTGCTTGCGCCTTAGAAGAACTTGCCGACTTACCTTTCACATCTTCTACTCCTTCAGTTGAATCACCCGAGTTCTCTTTCTCGGAATCTTTAGTCTTCAATGAACCAGATTTCGCCTTTCCACTGCCATTGATATTCGACTTCCCACCACTTTTAGAAGTTTTGCCCTTGGAGGCAGCAGCAGTGCCAGATGTTTCTTGCTTGGACTTGCCTATCTTCGGAGTTTCTTGCTTGCTAGGCTTAGCAGAGGGTTTTGAGGAGCTAACATCGTCATCCTTTGATTTGCTCTTTTTGCTAGCATTATCTGTGTTCTTTGATTTGATAGATGTCTTCGTTGCAGCTTCCGCAGATTTACTACTACCGCTCTTGGGAGTGCTGTCCTTGGATTTTTTAGCAACTTCTTCGTCAGGTTTGCCAAGAGTCTTGGAAATTTTGGATTTGCTATCACCTTTGCTGCCATCCTTTGACTTTCCGCCAGATTTTGCGGGTGCACCCTTTGATTTACCAGATTTGGCTCCTCCACCACTAGAAATTAAGGTTCAAATTCAGATATCATCAACAGATTAGAAAGAAATTGATTTATGATGTTCACAAACCTTTTTGAAGAAGAATCCACCTTTGCTCGCTGAATTGAGTCATCAGCATTTGCCTTCCCTTTCTTCTTCGGAGGCCTAAAATATGATCGAAGAATAAGAAAGCATATGAGAACAAAAAATTGAGGGAAAGTGTGCAGCTAGGTATCACACCATGTCTGTCACAAAATACAGCCATGCATTAATAAGACATCTAATTGATCTATTATTACCCTAGAGGAACAAGATGCCGCAGCAGTGTACAGTAACCAAAAGGACTAAAAATACATTGATCAAGAGTTAAAGAAAATGTTCTGCATTTTTCAGAATCACATCACAAACATAGCAGAACAACATTGTACTATCAATTGGGCGAGGGAGGAGAGATAATATTAATGTAATCTTTTCATATACTGCAACGCATTATCATCAAGATAAGCGCCTACAAACAATGATTTGTTCCACTAATAAAGGCAGTCAGCTGACGACCACATACATGCACACTAAATTGTTTCCTCGGTCTTGGTATCTTGCATCCACCTGTTTTCCCACCCATTAAGAATTTACTCAAACGAGTAAATTAAAGCTATATTGTCAAAATGTAAAATTTGATATTTTCCATCCAGAAACCCAAGCAAAATAATCAACCAAATAAAGGACAATGCCACAATGGTCAGTGCACGGATCATGAGAGGGCATGACATCAATAAACAGAATACAAATAAAATTATAGAAACAAATTATAAAACTGTAACAAACAAATTTAACAATAAACAACAAAAATAAGAAGTATGACGTACGTATTAGGGGAAGCAAGAGGACTCGGTTGATCACTCCCTTCTTCCTGTTAACGCAAGTGATTCTCATCAACTTAGACATTAAAAGATTTAGACTATAAAAAAAAAAAAACAATGCAGATACACACCTTATCAGAACCAGGTTCATCTTCAATAAGCTCCCATCTCTCCTTTTCAAGTTTTAATATTTCTTCATCACCATCATCATACATAACCTACAATCAAGTCAGAATTTAGCGAGCACATACAAGTATACTAGTGAGATTGATAACTAATTCTCTTGGTAAAAGAATGAAGCCATCAAGATTTTTTTTTTCATTGGGTGCCGATGGATGAAGTCTACTGGTAAATTGAAGTGGATAAAAAGAAATGCATGAGATTCAAGCTTGGAGAGCTTTTTTCTTTACCCCTTTAATTTATTTATTTATTTATTTTTTTGGGCGACAGTGCTGAGAGACAAATGCCACATCACCTTGTGCCTCTTTTTGGCTGGATCAAAAGAATCAATAACCCCTTTATAAAACCTGCAAAAAATTACATTATGTTAAAAAGACAAGGGAAAAATGTTTCTGCTCCACAGTAAACAAAATACGCATCCCAAGAATAACAAAATATGCATGTGGTTGAACAAGAATGCCTGGGGAAAATGCACACACTAAATTCAAATAACCAAAGGGCCACAGAAGATAGGTTAATAAAAAAGTTTGAGACATCATTATCTATAGAACTTGGAATATACACAATTGATGTAATGAAAAAAAAATGGCATAATAGATACACAAGCAACCTAGCAAACAGAACTGTGTAATCAGAAGAATAAAGATTATAAGTTAATCCAAACCAGCATATAAAAGTCCATGCTTAACCAAAGTTTCCAGTGATAGCATTTGAAACAGAAGGAACTTACGTACGATCCTTTGGCCACCAAACTTGGACCCGTGAACCAACAAGATCTTCACCAGGTTCCTTGGTATCAGATGCCTGTAAACCAGTTGATCAGAAATCAAAATGAGAGGAAACTGGATATTTTAAACTAACAATGAAAAAGAGCAAAATTCTGAGGAACAATTACAAATACTTTTATATAATCACTGGCAGTAATACTAGAGCAACAAATAAAAAGGAACAAAATAAAAATAGAAGAAAAAGAAAGGACATAAGGAAACATGACATCTATTAATGAAACTATGCATCAGATATACATCGAAAACAGGCTCCGTAAGATAGTTTGACCCAGCTGCAAGCAGCCAACATAAAGGTCTTGCCAGGACTGGAAACTTTTCCAAAACTTAAAGTGCCATAATAAATGCACATATAGTTTTTAACTTGAGGGGAAAGAGACGCATACATTCTCTTTTCCAGGGGTTCGTTTCCTCTTCAAATTTGCCTTGGTAGTCTCCTCAGGATGTTCTTCATCTTTTGAAGACCTTGTCCCTGACTTTGGTGAAGTCATTTCCTACAGAATTTAGAACAATTCCATTAATCATTTCATAAAACAAGATGTGCAAATTGCAAGGAATCCAAGCTAAGTTGCGCTAATCATGGCTTCTGAACAACGTGGTCCAACAACTATTATAGACATTGACTAATGACTATAGACTGATTATATAATAAATCCTAGCAAAGAAACAGGCTCTATCTCACTGCCCGGACATACCTTATCCACATCTTTAGCAGATTTTGCTACAATAGTATCAGAAGTACTTTTTCCCCGCGTCCTCTTTTTCTTGTCCTCTGACTGCCTAGCAGAGGATCCACCACCACTCTTGTCGCTTTCATCTACTTTCTTAGCTGAGTGCTTTTTCACATCAGGATCACTTGCAGTCTGACTTCCTTTTTTGGCCAAATCTACTGCAGCAGTTTTCTTCCGGTCGGATCTCCCACCCACCATCTTTTTTGCCGAACGCGTGGCAGGCTTTGCTTCAGTATCACTAGTTTCTTCAGACACCTTTTTGGAATCATCCTCAGTGGTTTCTGCCCCTCCTTTGACAGAACTGTCTTTCTTCTTTGCTCGTCCAGACTTCTTTGAACGATTTTCATCTGGAAGGCTCTCAGCAGGTGGAGAAGCAACAACTTCAGATTCATCCTCAACTGCCTTTGGTGATGAAACATGAACATCGGTCTCTTTATCATTCTCTTCTGAATGTCCAGCTGCCTCAACAGAATGATCATTTTTAGGTGAGCTTGGAATGTCCTTGCTTTGAGGTTTAGAGTTCAGCAGTTTCTCAGCTTCCTTCTCAATAGCTACAATTTGACCCTCAGTAGGTTCTGCCTTGGCTGAATTAGATGTTCTTACCTTCTTCTCAGTCGCTTCTTCAGGCTTTTGTTCAGTATTGTCAACCTTATCAGTGCCAAAATTATTGCACTCCTCATTACCTGATTCATTGATGCCCTTCAATTGATCAGAATGCTCAGCACCATCTTGCTTCTTTACAGACTTGGAATCTGCCAACGAGTTATCTTCCCCAGTCTGTGCTGTGCCATTGCTCATGACTAACTTAGGAGATTTGTCTTCAACAGGATTAACTTCTTGAGGAGGAAGTGCTTCTCCTGAATCCTCTTTAACCACCTGATCAAATGAAATGAATGCCTTCATTCAATGAGCAAGTTGTGCAAAGGGATAAAATCCAGAACCAAAATAATCAAATACCTGAGTTGATTCCTCCAATGGTTCTTTGGCTGATTTGTTCTCATCTGCCTGGAGATGGAAAAACAGTTGAACCAAAATGAATCTTTCACATCATGAAAAGTATTAAACCCAATTAAATGATAGTTTACATGAAACTAAGAGAAAGCCTACAACATGTTCATGAGTACATACATCATTTTGCTCCAAGCTACCAGCTGTCTCTTGGCATATTGTAGCAAGTACCTTGCTATAATCATCCAAAGAGATACCCAGGGTGGTCACTGCTTGCACTAAGTATGGTTTAAGCTTGGTTGCACAACTTTCAAGGACCCTCTCCCCCAGTTTTTTAGCAAGTGGTAGAACCCCCTGAACCACATAAACATTCAAAACAAAGTTCGGCTGCAAAATAATAATCCACTACTATAAGAATGAGATCAAAACTTCTACATACTAACCTCATCCTTCTTCACACTGGCCAAGATTGGAGCAAATAAGTCCAAAGATATATCTTCACTTTCCTCTATAACAAGGGTCATAATAATCTCCATGGATGAAAAAACACTTTCTGGGTGCTGTTCCCTGGAAATTTCGAATAAAGCCATCATAACCACATTCATGCATTAGAGTTATCTCCAGCTGAATTAAGCAATTCTTTTACACAATGGGAAAAAAATAAGATATGGAGTAATGCAAACTACATGATATGTAGAATGCTAACAAGGCTTATTAGCCTAAAACCCTTAACTAATTCATCAAGGACATCCACTAACACTGAGAAAGCTTAATCGTAAACTGAAAAAGTTCCCACTCATCTCTGGGCTACTAGCATTGACAAATTTTAACCATAAAGAATAAGGCAATATCTGCCTTGTTGCAAGGCTTATTGGCTAGGATGCTTAAGGCGTGCCTTACGATCACCACTGCAACTAACTATTTAAGCTTCAATGTTATTTATGCCAAAAAATATAATGACCAAGCGTGCAATAAATGCTAACATCTCACTATTTAAGAAATACATTCAGAGAAAAGGAATGTAAGCCAAGGGAATAACATTAAGTTATCATGAATCATCATACGGATCTTTATCCTTCATATAGAACCAAACATGGTGATAAAATTTGAGGATACACTGAATTTTATGCATATATCATTACAAGTTATCCCATGAATGCGTAAAACACAATTTGAAAGCAACACACTGGCTGTTTACAGGAATCTTGCTCTAAATGACCTCCAAAAACCAAGGTTTTCAGTTGAAACAGCGGGCAAAGCACAACATGAAAAAATGCACTGGAAAAGAACCATGTTACAGTAAGACAGAATAGCTCTTACCTTACAGCCTTAAAGAAATGCTGAAACATCTCCACAATCAGGGCATCGCATTCAAGATCCAGCATTACTACACACGACCTGACCTTTGCAACAGTTTCAACAATTGAGGCCCTCTTCGTATATGATGGGCTTGACTTATCATATAGATTTTCAAATGAAGATACAATTAATTGAAAGACCTCCTACAAACAAAAGGCACGGGAAAACTTTAACACTGTAAATTGTAACAAAATAGTGATTGAATCCATAAAATTTATAACAGAAAAGGCACATACCTTCATCTGATCGTCATCATAAGGCGCCTCTGGAGCTGTGATTCTTGTAATCTCACTGATGCAAGAAGCAACTGCAACTTTCACATCAACATCTGCATGCCTTAGTAGTCTGTCAGCAACGAGTGCTTTCAATGATGGAGAGAGTGCATTTTGCATAGATTTGGTAGGGGACTGCTCAACCCTTGATAGGCAACTCTCAACTTGCTATAATTTGACAGAAAATGGAACGCATCAGAACTGACACATGCTTGATCTTTAAGGTAAGCACGTATTTGAAGTATATTTTTGAAGTTTGCATATTCTCCATCAAAGATTACAATAGCTTCACAACTACGGTTCTACTTAAAATTTTCAAGATAAAAATGATTAAGAACCCAACTTCAGAGACTTGAAAGATTTCACAATCTGCTAAGCTAAGAACAGTTGCTAATTAGTATGAAAATTTATTTAAAAAAAAAAAGGAAACAAATTCACACAAGTTACTAATGCATAGGACTAATTTGCATCATTTGCCGGATAACCTACAAAAACGTCCCTGACCAAACAAGGATTATAGATAATGGAAGGAAATGTAACAAATACCTCAAATATAGCACCTGTGACTTGTTGGTGACTAACTACGGTATAAGGTAACTAACCAAACCAAAATGTAGGCACAGTTTAGTGAGAGGGACACAACCATTTATGTCCAAGAGAAAACCGTGTCAAGTTTCAACATTCCTCAGAGAAGATAGAGTTCAGTAGCCATTTCAACAAAATTATAGCGCCCATAGGTTCTACCATTTCTAAACATGCCTAGTATACCACAGGCAAGAGTTGTCAATATTTCTATGCCGTTTTATTCAGCTTCTAATCATGATTTATATTCACAAGTGTCAACAACACAGATAGCTTCCACATCCCAATACATAATATACATTGGTACAAAAGAACAGCATTAAACGCCCCAATTAAAAAGATTGGGACACGTTTATTCAATCATGTGCTTAATCTAGTGAGTGATAGTTTATCCTAAATGCCTGTCATGCGAGTATATAGCAACATGTTAAAATATTAATAAAACTTCGCATAATAAATTCATTTACTTACAGAGGATTCAGAAGATTTTATGACCTTATGTAATTTATAGTTGATATATTTTCTTCTTTTGGCTTACTATTGAACATTTGATGGCCCAAAAAAAAAAACTAATTAAGATTTAATGTGCTGTGACAGGATAGACCAGGGTTTTGTCACTTCTTTGAACATAAATATGAAATGGATCCAAATTACAAACAAATGAATTCAATCTTAAAGATGGGTCATCATAATGTCTTAATAGTCCTTCTCCATATCAAATTCTCAAATCCTTACAAGTTAGAATTTGCAGCAATAAAGGGACTGGTAAAAGGTCTGGCATCGAAATCATTTTTATTTTCTTAAGCAGGGAGTAATTAAAGGTTATGCGAATTATAACTCATCCGATATGCTGAATATAACATAGGATTATTGAAAAACAAAGTTACCAACACGAATCCACATTAACATCTGTGTATCTTTTGGAAGAAGGGCCTAAATACGATTGCATCGAAGAAAATTTATGCTAACTTAATATGTGCTATGAATGGCATCGTATGGTGCTGAACGAAATGAAGTTGTGGAATAAGTTCGTAATGTTCCTTCCAATAACTTGTGTTTAATACCGAAGCCACATTAGAACGCCATAACAAAACAAATTCCGCAGCTAGCCTGCGATTGCAGGGCCCCGCTTGGCTTTTTCATATCTTACAAAGAGTAGCATGAAGGTAATGAGCCAGGATGGAGGATTTAGTTACCCTGAAAAACTAAGATGGAGCAAGAATAAGAATGGTAGCCGCATGCAGTGAGGAAATGGATCAACAAAACCAACGGCGTCGAAAAACAAGTTTCAATAGACCCCAGGCCTCAATAAACCAAGAGCCGTAGAAGTGGCCGACTGGGACAACCCCACAAAACACGAGGAGGAGTTGAACGGGGAGGACGGACATTTGGGGGGATGGAATTGAAGGTACAAAAAAATAATAAAGAAAAAAGCATGCTTACATCAAGAAGAGGGAGGAGCTCATTAACAGACGACGGAGGATCCAGCAGCTTGTTTCCAGCTTCGAGAAGCTGCTCTTCGAGCTCCTTATCAGCGGACGTCATTGGTGGTGGGTGTGAATCTCTCTCTCCAGATCTTCGACAAACCTCCGGTAATTTCCGCGGGTTCACTCCATTGAAGCCCTAGAAACGCTCGAATCGAAGACAGAGACAGTGGATTCGAGATCAGTGCAGAAAGAGTGAATTTCTCAGCGGAAAATAAAAAAGATTAGGGTTTTTTATTTTCTTTCTCTGAGAGGAGACAGAGGGAGAGAGAAAGAAAAGTGAGAATTTCGGAAATTTTTTGAGGATGAAAGTCTCCTGTGGAAATTACTGCAATATATATACTAAAGGGATTAATTTTTTTTCTACTTTTGCTGTCCTTCTTTCCTAGGCAATTTCTTTTGAGCGCTTTAAAAGAGAATCCAGCGGAACTCCGCTCGGACTTCGCGGGTTCGTGAATTCGAGTTTAATTTCGGGCTTCGAATCCGCTTTTTGGATCTTCTTGCTCCACGGGCCCGCGTGGCTTTCATTTCACCGTGCATCTTTTAATTTCTCGCTCTATATATTTTCTCCTCCCAGAGATGGTAAGAAATAAATATTTTCTTTTATTTTCCATTGTAATTCATACATTTTTGGCATGATAGTAAACGGCGTAATAAATATTTGTAGATTTTTGTTGTACCCATCATAATTATTATTAAATAGATTGGCTTATGTGTGACGGTGTGGTTTAAAATTATCTAGTGCATGAGTCTTGCGGAAAGACGAGCTCAGAATGCTCGGACTTGGACGAATTTATTTTTGCCCGTCATTTCTGGAAAGATATATAATTGGATTTTGATAGAAACATGAACCTATGGATACTTTGTATGGTGTGGTTCATTTGCATGAGAAGCTCATAATATATTGGAAAATGTTATGAATTGATACTTCTTAATGCCAAGTATGGTCGATGCATTTCTTTCACGTAAAATACCTATTTTGATTTGAAATTTACGGATTATTCTTTGCGTATTTATAATCAGAGCCTTTAATTAGTACATAATAATGAGTGCAATAAAGTCTTGTTATAATTATCTGCGTTTGACATTATACTTTTCGTTCCCTTTATTGTGCATGGCAGGGGCATGCGATTTCACTCGTCAAGTTTCCCGCTCTTCGCTCCAATATGGCATCAAGCATGTTGTCTAATTTAGCGATAGCAAATCTTTTTATAAATTTGATGTCGTCGTTAATATTAACATTAATATACTAGCAATATCAGCTAAAAAACTCTTAATTTTATGTCTGTGTACTCACATTGAAAATCAAATCAATCATTAAATCAATTAAGATATTAATTTAACAATTAATAATTAATTGTCAAAATCACATGCAGTTGAATTGTGATCAAACTAGCTTTAAAAAATATATTTTATTAGACAAGTCAATGTATTGGTTTAATAATTTATCGATTCAGCTAGATGAGTTAACCCAAATTTATAAATCACTACAAGCATTAGTAGACAAGATATGTGATGACAAGTATGCCTTTTGTAAGCTCAACAAGCTAGTTTAATTTTTTTTTTAATTAAGATCAATGAGTTAAAGTCTACTTAGTTAAATTGTTTGGACAATATTTGATAAAACGTGCTCCTTTTCTCTCAAATTACAAAACATTTCTAAATAAAATTTTATATATCAATAAATTTTATTAAATATACTTCACAATTTTATTTTGTTAAAATAAAAATATAAACTTTTAAAATTATTATTTATTTAATATATTAAAAAAGAATATAGCAATAATAAAATAAAAAATAAAGGATAATATTAAAATAAACTTATTTGAAAACATTATAAAAATATACTCTTTCCTTTCTCAAAATATCTTATATTTTAAAATGTACAGTCTTTTTAAAAGTATATTACAACTGGGGGGGGTCTGTTATTTTTGTGACCGGCATTTCCTGCTTTCACGTGCTTCCATTTTAGACATGCCCTTGGTTATATACGAAAAATGTCTGACGCCGTAATGTTAATTTTTTGTCATTGGTGTAAAAAATTTCGTGTATTAAATCACTGTGAAAAAAAAATCCATTTTGTGCAGTTTTGAAAAAGCATGACTTCCGAAACCTATCGAACTTGAATTTTTAACGTTATATAAAAAAGGTCAATGGTCACTTGGTCAGTCTCCCTGACTCAGTGATACCGACAAATGCTAATGTTTTTCTTGCTGTTATTTTCTTCCCACTTCACCAATTTAATGTTATTAATGTTATGACAACATTGTTTATATAATTCGCGTCAGTTGGCACTGTAGTTCTACAGTGCCATGTAATGCAATTATTTTTTTATTATTTCTTTGAAATTAATTAAAAGTTGTCATAATTAAGTTAACTATCAATTTTATATTTTATATTAAGTTAACTATTTTATTAAGTGGGTATGACTATATTTTTAAAACGTATAATATTGTATTAATATATTTCATATTTATATTGTTTTAAAGTTAACTATCAATTTTTATCTTGACATTCTTATTTTTATTTAAAATGGTAGGCATTAATGAATTGATGTTACAATCAAAATTAAACCATCCATTCCCAATTTGTAAAAAGCTTTTCATGATACTAAGTCACAAGACTGTTGACAAATAACAACCATGAGTTTTTTTTTTTTTTAGATTTATAAATGCAAAGGGTTTATAGGGTAATAAATATTAAAACAAAACAGGTGGCTATTTAGTTGCAAGAATAATAAATTCTAAACCAGAACATGTTAAATTTTTTATTCAGGTAGGGATTACAATTTTTGAAATAAAAAATCATTCTCTATGGTTTTAACATACATAAAATTACAAATTAATTGCTTTTTTTGGCAAAAAACTGTATATTCTTTTAGGAAAATGAATTTATTAAAATTTATCCTCTCCTCCTCTTTTTTTTTTTTGGCCAAAGATCCTCTCCTCCTCTTCATATCTCTTGAATTGGGTGGATTAATGTTGTCGGGGTTAAAAATATAATTATATATATAATGTAATATAATACACCTAATTAGAGAGAATGGTGAACTGGCGATCGTTAACATAACTAGTGTCTTTTGTTGGTGTTTTTAGTTGACTTTACTGTGAATAAAACTTTTGTTGTTTAAAAAAAAGGAGCATAGGCATATACGATACTGACAAAGATACATCAGGCGTCACCAATTAACGCTGATGGCTGATGCATAAAAGTGCGAGAAAAATGGTAATAATACAACGTTGAGCTAGAAAAAGGAGGGCAGGTCTGCAATTTTGTGACAGCACAGTGAGTACAGGATGAAAGCTTGCCACGTATCCGAAAAGCTTGGGCATGACCACTAGTGCCAACAGATTCCAACCAAAAAACAAAAAGAAAAGAAAAAAGAAAAGAAAATTGTCAGGAAGTCTAAATTGCTGGAAGGACCAAGTTAAATGTAAGGACTAAACTGAATATAATATTCATAAAATAATCTAATTAATTAACCAAATTGCCCCTCTTTTAAAAGGCAAGTAGAAAATTGAGTCCGTGTGGAGTCATCTTCAGGTTCACCAGTCCCAGACCCTTCATTGCCATCACAGAGAACCAGCCCCTTTGACACCTTTAGGTACTTCATTGAGAATGAAAAGGCGGCATTGAGACCTATTGAACTTGTTGGCAATAGCTGATGAAATTATAGTTTGAGTCGTGCCCAAAAATATTGTCCTTAAGAGCTATTCTGCCACACTGGGTTGACCAGGTGGCAGCTTTTCAAAATTAAACAGACTACTCCTGCTAAAAGTAGGGATAGAAATTCACAGAATATACTCAGGTAACTACACAATGAATTAGTATGATAAAAGAAGAGAGAAAGGCCGAGAGTACTAAGGCTCTGACTGAACCTGTGACAAGCATTGCCTTTTATAGGCAAATCTTATAATGCTAGGCAATAAAACCACCTTAATCACAATTTAAAAATGATTTCAAATAATAATGTTATTTAAATTATATGTTATAAAATAATAAATAGACTTAAATAATAATTAATATTATTAATTTATAATAATTCTTTTTGAAATACTCAAAAATATTTATAATATCTAACAATCCTTCACATATTTCAAAAGGAAGGAAAATTTTTGAAAAAGAAGGAAAATTTTTGAAAAACTATCTTATACAAATAATTTTGTATATTCAAAAAATAGTTTCCAAAATTTTGAAAAATTGCCCAATACCATGTCTAACTCGTGTGCGAATGTATGTAAGAGCCCATTTCTCCTCTAAGCCTTTACTAGCCTAAGTTTACAACTTAGTATTTATAAACTAAGACCTCCATTCATTTGAGCAATATGAGACTTTTCTTTTTGACACAATTGCAACAATCCCCTATATGTGTCAAAAAGACCACTGTCATCTGAATTATTCACACGGAAGATAATCATTTTGAATTTGATATCTTTCGACTTGAATCAAATATAGACCAATAAAACTTAGCGCACAGAATAGTTGGTGTAACTTTATTATTGAACCAACAGATCTTGATTGTGTACTAAAGGTCTTATTAGTTGGATTATACCCCCACAATTTTTGTTGTTATCCTAGTTTTGCACGTTATCGGCCATGCGCGCGCCTGATTTTAACAAATACTCTAGAGATTTTGCCACGGTTTCATAGAAACAACTCTACTCCCCATTCATATAGGTGTTTTTATCAAGTGTATTTGTAATAAATATACCATCCATAAGGACTATGAAAGACATTAAGAGCTTTCGTTTAGCCTCCGATCAATGCATGCTAGTACTTTTTCAAGTCATAGGAAATGACAAAAATTTAGTACTAATAGAATTAACAAGTAACTTGTTCTTACCCATTAAACTTTTTTCATAGGATCTCCAATCACAAAGATTAGGTTGTTATTGCCGTTAATTTCAAACAGGTTTAGGTCTTATTTCCCTTGACATTCAAATAATTAATCTCTTCCCTAGGGGTTGCCATCACATCTACATTTAATGTCATGTAATCGATTGAGATAAATCCCTTTTTTAGCATACTTAATTGTACCTCAATCGATAGTTACCTATGTCATTATTTTCTTTACAATAACTATTGCCATTTGGCAATTACAAATCATCGACATGGTTTATGTCGGTTTGACTCATAATAGGATATTCATTGAGAAGTTTATTAACTCTCGAGCCTCATTATTAGCCAACTTCAGAGTAATAAATTTTGGCTCAAATAAAATTTTATTTGGCTACTAATAGATTTTTCTTCATCTGAATATAAAATTCAATTAACATCATTGTATTGTTTTAATACAATAAAAGTCTATTATATATTATACCAGCATTTATGGTATACCTCAAATACT